TATAAGAAGCATTTATTCAATGAAAATATGAAGTAATATTTATTTCAAATTTTTGCTCGAATTATAATATTAAAAACCATTTATATTTTTAAAATAGGTATAATATTTATAAATTTTGTGTCAGCAATCCTTTACCTTGCTGGGCCAATTGCTTCGAGTTGCTTCCACGCAAACACCAACATCATCTTTATAGGTCGCCTAGAGTGCTAGAGAATTCCAATGATCTCCTTTCGCTTTGAAGTGGACGCAAACGTTACGCAGCTATGCTGACTCTTCTCATCTTCTTTGCATTGTAGCAGCTCTTCCGTTCCTCCTATAGAATACGCCAGCAACTTAAAGAAATGTCCAAAAACCATGTTAGATCAAAACATTAATTACTTTAATATTAACATTTATACACGCCAGTGCACCTTTCTATAAAGTTTCTTACCTCGTAATGAATTCCGCTACATTTTTTTTAGGACTTTTCGAATTTTGTCTTTTTTTAATTTTAAATAACATATAAATATCTCAACATATGAATTTACCTGTAAAGAATGTATAACGTTGTAAAATAAAAAATTTACTTTTTAACCAATTTCCAAAAATAAAACCCAATCTTTTAATTTTCATACAAACGCAGCTAAAACTGTCGAGTCTCGAAAATGAAGCCTAGTTAACACCACACATAATCAATGTCCTAGTTAACGCCATTCATAATCAGGACACGTTGACGATAACGAACGTTGCCATCAAGTTACCCTAGCGGTGATGGTAATAAGAACTCAAAAAGGTAATATGTGACTTTGGTATCTCTATCAGGAAAGTAAAAAAAAAAGCATAACGGAAGTCAAAAGATGAAAAAAACGTATTACTCGTAAAGGAGGGACATGCTTCATGACTGAATGAAACAATTCCACAAATTCTCTTGTTGGTCAGTAAACTGAGAACTGGTACCGTGTTCATCAAGGTTTCTTCAATTATATGTACGAAGAGTGAGAGAAAAGCGTAAGAAAACAATCATGTGTGCTTGCTTACAATGTTTCTTATAAAAAGAAAAAGTAAACCAGAATTTATTAGTATGCGTTTCCATATTTGTTTTGTCTCGTTGTTGTCCCTCTAATTTTGTTTTAATTAATATGTACTAGAAAAACTGTTGGAATGATTTTGTCTGAACAGAGGCGACGGAAGTTCCGTTGCCACTAAGTGGTCCCAAAACGAACATCTTTTTTGCATTGTGTCGTTCTTATCCACGATGGTTGGCTTTTTTTTTTGTTTGTGGTTCAATCTTGAATCCTTTGCTAAATTGCCGCCGTTAATGCCTGCTCTTGTGATACGCCTTTCAAATTATTTGTGCAAGCATAGTGGTACAGAAAAAGGCTGGTGTACTTAGAGACTTATTATTATTATCCGACGAGAACGTTGTTATTATAATTTTACATATTCTTTAAATGATTATCACTAGATCTCTCTTTAGCAACTGTACCACTGACATCGTTTCCTTCTTCTTCTTCCTCTGCGTGGTTACGTTTCCTCTTTTTGTTTTTCTTTTTCAGAGTTTGTGCATCTTCGATGGTGGCTTCGTCGGTAATAGCTGTTCCAGTAGCACTCTGTATGGCTTCCTTCATAACATCAATATTTTTTCGGGGAATTTCACCAGTTTCATAAAACTTAAGTCGTTCTTCAACTTGTGCTTTCAGACTTTCGCCAAATACCGATGTTGGTTGTTCAAGAAAGCAATCGATACGCGATGCAATAGAACATTTATTTGCCAGGAACCGGGATATACGTCCCTTATTCGTAAAAACAGCACGCCCAATAAACGAAGAGTGATATATTAAACCATATTTTGGAGTGTTTGAACGTGTTTTAAGAGCTCGGAATAAAGCCTTTTCAGCTCCCAGAATTTGTACCGTGGAGGCGGGATACTTAGCCAAATTTGTCAAACTACCAGCGTGCGATATTAAACGTGCACCCACTTGGTCACCAATAAACGATTGCAAATTAGGAGCTACAGAAGTCATTTTGTTGCGCAAGTACGTAGACAATTTCTCACGATATTAAGATAATTTAACAACACGCTCCGCAAACATTTCTATGTTCATTAAATCTATAATTGAAATATCCATACCCATGGACGCTTTTGCATTCATCGCTTTCTTTATTCTTTTTAATCGAAAAAAATTCGTAGAAAATAACTATTTTTTTTTACTTTTTACTCTATTTATCTAATTAAAATCTTAATTCGCCGAAGCTTGTAATTTATTGTGTATGATCAATCGTTTTATATGTCATCATATACAGTCTGGAATGCGTTACTTTCAACATCCAGCAAATCGCATACAATCGGTTTTCATAAGTTGTCGTATATGAAATAAAACATACTTTTTAGCAATGTCTTTTATCTTTATTAGCAGTTTATTAGGATTTGATGATTTTGTTAATATCCTTTCGATGATGCGCCTGGAAAAACAGAACAATGGTGCGTACATATTGCTTATGCATGTGGTTTGAGTCAAAAACTTCATGCGGACGTGTTGGAAGCTTTCGGTTACGATATAAAGCAGCAGATAGTTTTAACAATCGAAGAAATTATTAATGTAAGTTAAAATGTAAGCTTATATTTTAAAACTGAAGGGTTTTTACGAGCTTTTTTTTGGTAGACGAAACTACTATGACACCTTTGTTTCCTGCAAGTAGTCCATTATTTAGCCTGCAACAAAGCGAAACACATAATTACGTCCTTACATTTCACTCATTAATATTACATCGACAATACACGCTCTCTCTGATACATTGCAGGTTTGTGTAAACGTAATATTTGCCCTTTTTTGTTTACAAAATTTTAAATATTAAATACTCGATAAATTGTAGTTTTCCTTGTTTTATTAAAATATTTATTTTCTGTTTTTGTTTTTTTCTCTCTTTTTTTTGTTTGTTGTACGCTGTAGCTTACTTCTGCATATATATTCGTGAGTATACGTATTTAAATTAAAATAAATTAATATATGGCATTTACAACAATTTATATTTACCGACAAGCAACCTTTACACAGACACTTTCCACATTTGGACAGTGGAGCCACGTGCACGGCATTGTAATAATAAATAAAAGATCCGCACCCTTGGAATTCATTTTAAATATACAACGTAGAAATATGAGAGAGAGAGAGAGAGAGAGAGACAGCCCGAGCAAGGGAAGTAGAGAGAAGGGTTGATGGAAAGCAAGAAATCATTTCTGTGCTAAATCGAATAGTTCATAATGTACCTTCTAAGGCCCGAAAATTACCGAAACAACGAAGGAAAGTTAACTCTAAACAAGCAGAAGCAATTTAGTGAGCTGCACCCCACCATGGAATGCCCTACACCATTTCGCTTAGTGCATTTATTCATATAATGACTTTTGAAAATAAGATGTTATGTGAGAAGTGGTCGAAAAAGTGATTCGATGCGAACCATTTTCAAAGGCGTTCGTCCTTGAATCAAAAAATGTCAAGGTACCTTTAACCTTCGACTATACCGCCGCCACCATTGCAATCCGTCCGTATCATTTGTGCAATGAAGAAATCAATTACAGAGAATGTAAACTCAGTGATAGCTTGTGCTATATGGAAATCTATGGTACATGTTTTCACAATATCTTAAGTAAATGGTGTTTTAAATAAACATAATAAGGGAGAATGAAAGTCCATTAACTTGGTTAGCACTCAGATATCTACAGGATCGTCCTAATAATGCGTATATATGCATTTTAAATATTCTTTAATTCTTGAAATCTCTAGGGTTTTAGACGTTCAGAATTTTTCCCATGGCAAATATGCTTTTTTCAACAATTTCTTCAACAATTCTTCGTTTCTTCAACAATTTGTAAAAAAAGTGGTTTTTAGATGAAATTACACCGGAAAACTATGAAAAAAGACTAAAAATCACAAACGCTGCCCATAAACAACTTTTAGTTTTCAGACCAAAAATTTCGTGCTTTGATGGGATATAGATTAGTATATAAGCATTTTAGTAAAGAAATCGTCGTTTTTAAGCTCATTACCGAAGGATTGATTTTGTCAATAAAATTTGCATAAAATGCATGTATTCTTGATAAGCATCACATTTTCAACCGATCTAAGCATGTCCGTCTTTCCTTAACACAAATTTGGCGAAAATATTGGACGTCATTGCACGCTTTATGGGGATAGAAAGTATAAATACCCCAATGTTATATACTTGTTGTGTGCGTGTAAAATGTATTGTACCGCAAATCTGCAAAAAAAAAACGTAAAAGTTAATGTACAAAGAACATGAAAAGACAATTTATTTAAATTTTTTTTTTTTTAATAAAGTCATCTACAAAAATTAACCGAATTCTTCCAACGTTAAAATGGAATGATTTATTATTATTTTACCCTGTACCTACTATTTCAGGAATTGGACGGATAAGCATTTTTCTTTATTTTGTGTTCCTTTATTTCGTGAAAAATTGTCACGGTTCTAGCTCTGCTTGTCGGTAGAGCGATTTAATATTATGAGGCTTAGCTGTCTGAGCCGCATAACAAATAAAGAGAAAAAAACACACAAGAGAAAATGTTTTATGACGGTGGCTTGTCGTTCGTCCGTCTAGGGTGAGTCCGTCTGTATCCGTCCTGTGTCCCCCTACGGTTCGCCCACGCGTGCACGTCCCCTACATCGCACTCCTGCTACAGCAATAGCATGTTCGGCCTTAGCCGTTCATTGTGGCTCACAGGATGCTCGGGACACAAACAACATGGAAAGGTAAATACCTGACTAACATGTGTTGGCCCTTCCAAATGACGTCGTGACCCCCGCTGTAGTGCTGACGGCCTCGGTGATAGTCGCTGCTGATACGTGCTGTTCGCTGCTGATGAGACGTGGCATAAATCTGCTGATAACGACAATGATGAGGCACGGGAACACAATTTTGTTCGTGGTTATCCCGTGGCGAATTGCAGGTTGCAAACACGGCCAAAAACATATATTCAGATCCCTTTAGCTCGCCGCAACGTTATTCACTGACGCTACTTTGAATTCCAATGAGAACACCTAGTGATAAAAAAAAATAATGAACTGCACGTGCAACTTCTTCAAATGTTGAAAATAAAACTCCTTTGTTTTCAAATTTTCTTCTTGAGCACAATTTCCTAGAAGAATTTCTTTTATTGCCCGCTGCTCATTTTTTATTTAACTATTTTTCTTTCATTTGTTATGTAAACGTACATGTATGTATCAGCGATCAGTACATTTTTTATTCAGTCACTTTTCGGTTTAATGCCGTTTATTGAATCCGCATACATATTTATGTAACTTAATAATAGAACTTAGGTATATTTGATTAATTGAACACTTTGCACAATTGCCCTGGCTTCATTTCGCTTCCTTTTTTTTTTTGTTTATCTCATTTTTGCCTCGTTTGGACATATTTTAATCTTGATCAATTTTAAGAGAAAGAAACTTTGCTTCTGTTTTCAACTTTAAGAGGAAAAAGCCTTACGTCTGTTTTCAATTTTAAGAGAAAAAAACTTTGATTTGCTTTCAATTTTAAGAGGAAAAAGCTTTTTTTTTTCTGTTCTCAAATTTGAGATAAAAAGCTTTGCTTCTTCTTTCAATTTTAAGAGAAAAAAACTTTGCTTCTGTATGTGTGTGTACGGCTTTTACTCATCATGAATGCAGGGATCACACAAAAAAAATAAACAGACCAATCGCACACTTTGGTAAGGCTCACCATAGAAATGTATGATTTAAATCCTTGTTGCGACGTGCTACTAGCTTAGGCAATTGTTACCATTGTAACGAGTTTCCTTAGGCGGGGTATACCCAGTCAATCCAGGATCCGTTGCAAGAAAATTTTAATAAATAATCAGGACCTTCGGGGGGAATGGTGGTAAGATCTCTTAGCTTTATTGGTTCCTCTTTACTGGACGGAAGTTTGAAATGGCTGGGGCAAGGAACCAGCGAGGTGACCCGACTTGTCGCGTTATTATCGTTTTACGGTATTACTTCTGACGTTAGGATTCTGTTACGGTTTAAATCGCGGGGCGCTGGAAGAAAGAACCGGAACCTTTGCCAGTGTCATAGCTGCCTAGGCTCGCCTGTTTGTCCCTGGTTGGTGGGTGAGTCCCGAGCAATAGTAAAAAGACAAATGTCTCTCAGTCTTTCAGGGATGTCGATTGATACCAACCGTCACATCCCATATCCGTAATGTCATTTGTTCTACAAAGTCTTTCAGAGATGGCGATTGATACCAACCGTCACATCCCCTATCCGTAATGTCATTTGTTCTACAAAGTCCTTCAGGGATGGCGATTGATACCAACCGT